TATTTACTTTTACTCAAGTATGACAATTGTGTACTTTTTCCACCACTGCCACCATTACCCTGCTTCATCTCCCCATCGCCCCCAAAAAACGTCCTCCCACCCATGTTGTCTTGTTACCAGGAAGCTGCTATTATTGGTTGTTTGGTGCCACTGACCCACGGGGTCGCCAGGCCTCTCATACTCCCAGCTCTTAGCCAAAGTGAATCCGACAGGCACATTAAAATGCAAATTCCTTCCTGCCTCCCTCCTCATTCCGCTCATTGCCATTTTGTCACTTTCCCTCGTATGGAGGGTGGCTGCATCGAAGGGAAATGAATTAGAACCGTTGGCCCATTGGTTGAATACTCAAATGGTCAACTGATTGCAGTAGCACTATAGGCTGCATCCCAAATTGTACCCTATTGCCTTTATAGTGCACTACTTTTGACCAGGGCCCGGGCCACTATAAAGGGAATAGGGTGCCATTTGGGACAGAGCCATAGTAATGTTCCCCCTGCTACCATCTCACCGCTCCGCTCCTCTCTCCTCTCTCCACCTAATGTCCATCACTTAGTTCTGCTGCCAAGACTATCAGCTGGCCTCTTAGTGCTCATACTGAGTTCCGGATGTGAGTGGGGGTGAGACACACACACAAACAGTAAAACTTCCAATTGGACTGACTGTAAGAGGCCCAAAGGACAGGCCAGAGGTATTCAAAGTCGGAGTCGCGACGCCTAGTGGGGTCCCGGAGGAACTGCAGCAGGGTCGCCAAAATGAAACCAATTCTTTTTAAATTTTAAAAAATTGTTTGTGTGTTTGTGTGTCTATGTGTGTGTGCAGGAGTCCCATTGCCTGAGCCATTCTGTCCTCAGCTGGATGTCCTTTCCCACCCTTCCTCTTCCCAGTGTGTTTGTGTTGAATTGATAATAGCCTGGATGAGGTGGGTTGGGAGCAGTCAAGTACAGCAGAAACAGTGCCCTGCGGGGCAGTCTGCACAGGTGAGCTGTGTTTTCCACTCTGTCGCCTCGGCTCCCGCCCACCACTCCTCAGCATGGCAGTATGTGTGCACTCACGTGCGCGCACACACACACACACACACACACACACACACACACACACACACACACACACACACACACACACACACACACACACACACACACACACACACACACACACACACACACACGCACACACACAAACACACACACAAGCAGGATACACACATACCGCTGTTGTCTTTACCAACTTACCACAAAAATAGTCCTGCTTCAGGTCCTCTTCAGTGGTACTTGCCAGAGGAGAGAGGAGCATCTGCTTTGAACTGCAGGGGACACCATAATCACACTGCACAGAGACACACAGTGTCAGCTCAGCTGAGCTCCAGTTAAATAAACATACAGGGCTGTTTCTGACACCAAACACCTCTTGGCAAGGTTTCCTCATACTACCCTGAGAATCAGGCAAAACTTTAGGCCAATGAAAATAATGTTGTGTTTTTGTTTTGTTAGCCCTAGGAGCACCTAGCCTCTCACTTCTCACTGTTCACAGTGTGTATGTTCATCCATAAATCAACAGCTTTCCGGCCATAGGGTTAGATTATCTCCCTGGTTTTGACTGACTGACTAGGCTTCATGAAAAATGTAAACCAACCTAAAAGCTCTGAGTTTAAACCTGGTCTGTGTGTGTGTGTGCGCGCGCATGTGTGGACTGTCTGTAAGGGGATCAGGGGATAGGCTTTTTTGGGATAATGTTTTTGTAGAGTACAGATTATTGTATGGGACAATATAAAATGTTTTTGAGAATGATAATTGGAAAAATACAATTTCATTGAGTAAATGTATCTATTGTTGTTTTTTATATATAAGAGATGAAAATATAATTAATTGAAGGTTATTTGTTGATGTAAAAATCGAAATTTAGCGATTATAAGGTTATCATTAGATTTGGGGTTGGGTGGGGTCGAGAGAAATTTGTATGAAAAAATGGGGTTCCCAGAAATTCTGGAGGACCCCTCTGAAAAAGTTTGAATACGACTGAAGCCCTCCACCTCACCAACACCACCACCCCACCACTACCACCACCACCACCTTTTCCTCCCATCTCAGCAGTGGCGGCCACTGATTGGCTGAATACCCGGGCCGCGGGGTGTTTAGAGTTGTCAACAAAGCAGCATGACAGAAATAAGATTACAAGTTTTTGAACTACCGGTAGTTTCTTTGAGAATATATATAAAGCGATCTGTGCATTTGAACAACAGCATAAATGCACCTAATTCACTTTTGCATGTCAAAAAATGAATGACCACTGCTGCACATGCTGCCACTGTTTTGAGCATATTCGATTATACCATTTTGAATGAGCAGCCAGCTCACGAACGAATGAGTGCACCAGGGAGAACGCAACAGGCATGATTTGATTTGATTTGATTTTAACAACAAGCATGCAGATGCAATAAGTGAAAACACATTATCTAACTGGGGATAGCTAGCTAACGTAATGTCACAAAGCATGATGCGCTAGCCCGTTAACTTCCATTCTGAAATAAATTCATTTTTCCGAGTTAGTCAGGTATTAGTGTAGAATGACTTGAAATTGGCATGGGAGCTAACTAGCTAGCAAGCTACTAGCTATCTAGCTGCTTATCAAAGGTATGCACTGTAAAAAAAATAATAAAAATAATGTACAGTAAATTACTGGCAGCACAGAAGCCAGTAAATTACAGTAGATTTACAGGACCTTTACTTTAACACAAATTTAAAGCATTTTACTGGAACACCTGACTACAGTAACATGCTATATTTCTAGAATTAACAGTGCATTACTGGAAGCACAGTGGTTGCCAACAACGGACACTATTGTAGGTATTTCAATACTCCGATTTTTTATTTGTATTTCACTGGCCTGAACTACAATTCATGTAGCCTATTTTGTAACAGTTTAATTATGATACATGTATTTAGTATTTTCAAATGCAAATACCGTATATTCTGTGCTTGCAAGTAGCCCGCTTAACTACAACATTCTCAGTAATGTTAACATAATCTTTTTACTTGCTATGACTGTGGTATTCGGTATTCTTGCTTACCTTAGATTAATACATTAACTGTACATCGCTCTGGATAAGAGCATCTGCTAAACGACCATAAGCTAAATGTAAAAATTAACACTTGTAAAGCACACTGCTGGGTATTATTCTAATGACCTCCACCACCAAACAAGGCCAGATTTAATTTAAAAAACAAATAGTTTGAGGGTGGATCTCATTAAAATAATGCCCAGCAGTATGCTTTGCAAATGCTCATTTACATTTTTAAAATGTTGGTCATTTGGCAGACACTCTTGTCCAGTTGCTGGATGGAGGTGGCAGTTGTGTTTGGTCGATGCTGTGTCCAGGATTGGTGCTGGTGTTGGTACTGACGTTTGGGCCGGGACTGGAAATTGTGCTGGGACCGGGACTGGAGACCAGAGGTTAGTGCTTGGTCTGGTGCTGGGACTGGGGACCGAGAAACAGGAACCGGGAAACAGGAACCGGGAACTAAGGCTGCTGCAGGTGCTGGATCGGGATCTGGGTGTGTAGAGGGGAGGAAGGACAATCTGAGGAGCGAGCCGACACACAAGAGAGCCCTAGACCCAGGGTCAGTGGTAGCACTCTCCTGTGGTCTGCTCGCTCAGGGTGAAGGTCTGGTGTTTGGTCTCTCCTCCGCGCCTCTTCCAGTGTTCTGGTGCTGTGACTGGGTCTGGGTCTGGAACTGGGTCTGGTGCTGGATCTGCAGAGGGGAGGAAGGACAACCTGAGGAGCGAGCAAACACACTTGGAAGCCCAGGACCCAGAGGTTAGTGATGGTACTCCCCTGTGGCCTGCTGGCTCCGGGTGTAAGTCTAGATCTTTGGTTCTTCCTCCGTGCCTCTTCTGGTGTGGTGATGAATGGTTCCTGATTCTGGTCTGGTTCTGTGAGAGGGATAGTTGTAGAGGGAGATGGAGAGATGGAGAAAGGGGGTGGGGGTGGTGGGGGGTATGTCCATCGGCCTGGGCTGGTGCTGGAGGAGCGATGCGGCGGTAAGGCTGGACACTGGAGGACAGAGGGGACAAACAGGACCCAGACCAGCCTGGCCTCGGAGCACTCACCAACAGTTGGTATGCGTGTTCAGTGTGAGTGCCTCCGTGAGGGCAGTTCTCTGTACGTGCCTTGTGCCGTCTATGGATGGATTCCCTCGTGGGGAGGCAACCATGAACAGCCATCTGAAGAAAGTCCTTCTGTTCTGAGTGTGTTTAGAGGGTCCGGGTGGTCTGGACTGAGGCTGGCTGGCTTGCTGCTGTGCGGGATCAGGGGCAGGGAGGGCTAAGGGGGGTGGATCTGGGTCACTAAGGAGCAGGAGGGAGGAGTCAGGGGTTATGAAAGGGGGCAGTTGGTGGTAGGGGTTATGGTATTGGGGGTCAAGGGCAGTTGGTGATGGGAGGAGGTAATGGGGGACAGTATTGGGCAGGGAGGAGCGATCAGAGGAAGTAATGGACGGGGTGGAAGGGGGGTGGTATGGTGAGGGGTCTAGGAGGCGGAGACGGTTTCTCTGAGGGGATAGGGGGTTTTGCGGGTCGTATTTGCTGGCATCTGGTTTTGGGTTCTGGGGTGGTCTTCTGGTCTGGTCTCTTGTCGGTCTGTTGTTTGTCTGGTCTTTTCCATTTGGTAATTTCTGTCCAGTTTGGGTCATCGTCTAAGAACTGGAGTTGTGAGGTGAGGGGTTCCTCTGGTTTCTGGGACATCTTGGGTGGTGGTTTGGGCAGTGCCTGTGGAAAGGTCTGCTTCTGTGACTGGTTCTGGGTCCTTGTTGTTGTTGTTGTCTGGTGGAGGGCGTGGGGCTTTGGTGGGTTTGGGATTTGGGTTAGTAGGGCTGGTGGCATTGTCCCTTGCCCTGCCTGCATAGGAACTGGGACAGAATCCGAAGAACTGTCCCCGTTTCCCGCACATGTTGCAGGGGCATGTGGAGGTACAGTCTGAGGTGGGACGGTTGTCTTTACAGATCTTACAGATGATAGCTTTGCAGGCTGCGGCCAGATGGCCCAGTTGGCCATAGTTCTTGCACAGTTTGGGCATGCCATAGTAATGGATGGAGCCCCTTGATGATGCTAGGGAGGTGTTGGACTCTGCCCAATCCGGTTGGGTCCGGTCTTAACTGGACCAGCCATTTTCGTGCCCCAGTCCAGACGTTGTCTTCGTCCAGGACCCTCCTAGCCGCTGACTTGAGGGTGGTGAACCTGCTTATCCAAACTTGTATGTCATAGTCCTGGATGCATTCATTGTGAAGCTGTACTGTAACTACCTTGGATTCTGTGTCAGAAAGGGGGTATGTTCTTAGTCTGTTAAAGGCAATTTTTGTATTTTAACCAAAACTGTTCTATTAACTGGAGGGTCTTGAAACTGGCTTCAAATGATTCCTGTGGCCCTAGGGGTTTCACCAGGCAATTCAGGTCAGATGGCACAAAGCCCATACCTCTCTGGAGAACTGCCCTGCTGAATTCCAGGCGGGTCATGGTTTCTGGTCTGGCGGCTGCTGCTCCTGCTCCGGCTATTGGCGGCTCCGTCCTCGGCAGCCTCCTTGTTGGGGATTAGCGTCAGCCTCACCGCGTTGTAGTGGCGCATCGCTCCTGGGTTAATCCCGGTCATCTTGTTCAGGTGGGGGATTGTGGTTGTTTAGGGTCTTGATGATGTTTGGTCTGGTCGTTGGTCTGCTCCAGTCCTGCAGGGGGAGGAAGGACAAAACCTTGGAGCGAGCAGACACACCTGGGAGCCCGTGATCCAGAGGTCAGTGGAGGCACTCACCTGTGATCTGCTCGCTCCAGGTGTAGGTTGATGACTTTGGTCCTCAGGGCTGCAACCTTTTGAAGAAAGCTTGGAGTGAGATTTGCTATGTGCATTTCATTGCCCCCTGGCACAACCCCTAAATGCGGGGTCTGGGTGTCCTCTCCCAGGAAATGTTTACTATTTTAAAACTTATTTCATAAAATTCAATGTATTTTGACATGTCTTAGGCCTATGAGCAGGGTGGACATTAAATTAAAACCACAGGTCAGGTGTATTCAGGATGATTTGAACATTGAATAAACACAAAATATTCACCAACTTTGTTACATTTAAAGTATGCTAACATTTTTTTTTTAGGTGGTTTGACACTTTATTCAGAAAGTCATGAAATGGGGAGAGGCAAATGGTAAAAACAGTGGGAAGGTTGAAAGCAGGGATTAAACCCTGGTCTCAGGTGGAAAGTTGTATGCTACACGTGCTGGGAGTGTTACCACTACACCAAAGCTCTGCATAGGAAATACTATAATTCATGGATGATGGCAGTGGGTAACCAAATCATAGATTGCGATCTCCTTGTCCATAGACTGCTTTCAAGGTAAGGACACAAACATTTTGTATTTTGTAATTTGGGTGAACTATTTATTTAAAATAGGGATGGAAGAAAATCCTGCTTGCTCTGCAGGAGGGGTGGGCACCCATGATCTATACTGAGCAAAAATATAAACGCAACATGTAAAGTGTTGGTCCCATGTTTCATGAGTTGAAATAAAAGATACCAGGACTTTTCCATGCCCACAAAAATATTATTTATCTCAAATTTTGTGCACAAAGTTGTTTACATCCCTGTTAGTGAGTATTTCTCCTTTGCCAAGATAATCCATCCACCTGACAGGTGTGGCATATCAAAAAGCTGATTAAACAGCATGATCATTACACAGGTGCACCTTGTGCTGGGGACAATAAAAGGCAGTTTTATCACACAAAACAATGCCACAGATGTCTCAAGTTTTGAGGGAGCGTGCAATTGGCATGCTGACTGCAGGAATGTCCACCAGAGCTGTTGCCATAGAATTGAATGTTAATTTCATAAGCCACCTCCAACGTCATTTTAGAGAATTTGGCAGAACGTCCAACCGGCTTCACAATTGCTGACCACGTGTAACCACGCCAGCCCAGGACCTCCACATCTGGATTCTTCATCTGAGGGATCGTCTGAGAACAGCCACCGGGACAGCTGATGAAACTGAGTATTTCTGTCAGTAATAAAAGCCCTTCTGTGGGGAAAAACTCATTCTGATTGGCTGGGCCTTGCTCCCCAGTGGAGGGGCCTGGCTCCCAAATGGGTGGGCCTATGCCCTCCCAGGCCCACCCATGGCTGTGTCTCTGCCCAGTCATGTGAAATCCATAGATTAGGGCCTAATACATTTATTTCAATTGACTGATTTCCTTATATGAACTGTAATTCAGTAAAATCATTGAAATTGTTGCATGTTGCGTTTATATTTTTGTTCAGTATATGTTTCCTAAGTGCTGGGTGTTTGAAAAGGTTCTTGTTATAACAATCAATTTCTCAAAATCACCCAACCTTCAAGAAAAATCAAATGAATATCAATATTCAGGTGGTTTATGCCTACTAGTTGAAGATCCTTGCCATCATCTTACTCTACATGGACAAAATATGATGTGTTTATTATTTAGCAGACGCTCTTATCCAGAGCGACTTCCAGTTAGTGACTGCATACATTATACAGTTAGTGAGTGCATACATTATTATTTTTTATACTGGCCCCCTGTGTGAATCGAACCCACAACCCTGGCGTTGCAAACACCATGCTCTACCAACTGAGCTCAATCCCTGCCGGCCATTCCCTCCCCTACCCTGTAGGAATATCAGATTTCAAATATGTCATTACACTGGCAAAATTGGAAGAAGCAGAATAATAAAATAAGTATGGGGAATAATAGTAGTGTTCTTGCAGACAAGCACAATAATTACCCTTTATTTTAGCCCATTGTTAAGAATTAGAATTGTTCCACTGATCAGTTAAGTAAAGTAAATACATAATACAATCTCCCGAAGACAAGACTACCCTATACCCTAACCAAATAATGATCATATGTATTGTCCCCCCTTTAGAATCAAACTTACACTTTTGGGTTCACAATCTGTTTGACAAAATTATTTTCATAGTTACAAATCAGGACATCCTACCAAAAAAATTAATGCAAGTGTGGATTAGATCAACTTTAGTACATGCTGTCCAAAGGCTGCACTCTGCAATAGGGATGGGATTAACAGCAACCTCATTTTGTTGACAACATTGTACATAAAACAGCGCTACCGTGATGCTCCTTTTACAGATTTATAAACTCAGTGGAAAACGTTCTCTCTCTCCATTAAGCTCCACTCTAATCTTGAGGGGCGTTTCTTTAAAACGTGCAATCCATCCCCTTGATCCCTTAAATAACTAGACCAATCATATGCTTCAATGTGCCGCAGTTGACAGTGCTATGGCAAGACAGGACAATGATAGAGGTTCAGCTCGTGATGTTAAACTGCAGGTGCTCCGATTTCAAAACGATTTGGAGCACAGACGAAAATCCAATATGGATGGTGTTAAGAGATAGATGGGAGGTATTGAATGGAGCTGAAGGATGGGACTAATAACAACTAACAACAACTAATAACAGCAAGATAACTAATGGAGGGCATGCGGTTTCCATAATAAGTATATAGGTAATAGGTTGAGAGCTTTTGTGAAGGAGCACAGTTGGGGAGGTGTGGCATGTGGAAGCAAACCAGATGGACATCATGAAAATGATCGGAGAGGTTGAGGGTAGAGGAAGTTCAGGAGTAAAAACAAACAAAATAGAATTATTGTAAAACTGACTGTGTCCATAAAATGCATAAAGTATGTATAAGCTGGAAGTAGAGGCCTAAGCGTTGTTGTTGTTCACTAGTTTACTCCAATTAGGGAAGGGGTGGTGGGGTTGGTAAGTAATAAAGGGAAATATATATTTTTTAAGGATATTTTACATTTTAGTCATTTAACAGACGCTCTTATCCAGCATATTTTTCATACATATGTATGTATATGTATTTATATGTATGTATATGTGTGTGTATGTATATATATATATATTTGTGAGAGAAAAAAAAACATGGGGGATTGGAAGTGATGCAGACAATTACATTGATGGAAGTTACAATCTATCTGCAATATTAAAGCTGATCTACCCCCTCAAAAAAAAGAAAAAAAGAAAAAAAGACAGGACAGGACAATGATAGAGGTTCAGCTCGTGATGTTAAACTGCAGGTGCTCCGATTTCAAAACGATTTGGAGCACAGACGAAATGTTAACACACTGAATATACACTGGATTACTTAGAAAAATAAAACCAGTACTTTTCGATGCATGTGTCTCACGGCCAATGCGTGAGAATTGGCAGCTCTGGGTCCTTCCTCCGCGCCTCTGGTTTGCGTGGCGATGGTGTCTGGTCGGGTCTGGTTTCTCCTTCTGTTGGTCTGCTCCGGGTGGTTGGCGGTCAGATAGTCCTGGTCTGGTCAGTGATGGCCTGAGGAGGACAGATGGAAAGTAGAGGGGAGGAAGACTGCAGGCCAAGGGTAGTGGGAGTAAGGCTCGCCTTGGTAGCACTCTACTCGCCTCAAGGCCTGCAGTCCTCAGGAAGATGGTTCTGGATGCTGGGGGGTCTGGGGACTGGGGAGTCAGCCACTGTTACCTTTCCGTCTTCCCCAGTCCTTCCAACAATTCTGGCCTTGTCCACTAGACCAGAGAGACAGCGGAACACCATTGTGTCCCCATAATGCCTTGCTTTTTACAGTACTGTACTGTAATATAGAATTGAAAATGTACAGCAATTTGTTACAGTGTAGATGACTGGTTAATTTGACCAAAAAAATCGACCTAACTAGTTCTCAATGTTTTTAAAAATTACTGTAGCTGGCTAATTAATTTGATCACACTTTGCGATACAACCGGTTTTATGCTGTTTAACTCCACAAAATATGTCACCCTGTCACCTAAAGTAGAACCTAAAGAACACCATGGGGGGAAACAAAATTGGCCAGCCACCGTCATGCTTTTTTGTCCTACCAGATCCGCGTTGAGAAAGTCCCAGGCTCCCATGACTGTTAGGATTGTTTATTTACAAGTTAATTACAACTATATTTTTGCTCTTTTTGCCATCTGTACCTGATAGACCAGATCTAGTCTCACGTGCGGAAGTAAGACGTCTGGCGCGAGAGATTCATTGGGAGGGAGACTAGAGCAGATCCAGACTGAGCGCACATTTGTCTATTTACTTTGTGCTTTTATAATTTATGCTATGAAATCCTGCAATTTCATTGGGGCAGTTCCCCCTCATAGCAAGTAGCTGGTAAAACAATCCAAGCAATGTCCGTACGTCTTATGCGCCCGCTGGCAGTCACTGGGGGCAGTAGTAACTGAACAGCTTGTTTTGAACAACATATTTTTGAAACTGGAAAATGTACACATTTACCACACTTTTATGACAATTTTAAACATAATCCATGAATTAAGTAATATTTATTTGTTTCACAATTGGGTCACCGCCTCTAATGCCCTAATGTATTGTATCTCTCATCTGTCCCTCCATTCATGGAGGTCAGTTCTATTGCTGCACAGCACTGGAGGCCTGTTCGCTGTCTTATCCTCTCCAATTAGGAACAATTAGTATTTAATACAGAATAGCAGTTCATTAGGACATAATTACCCTCATAATGAAGCAAAGTCCATCAAACTCGTGACTGTTTGTGTGTGATTGCGTGTCTATGTGTGTGTGCAGAAGTCCCATTGCCTGAGTAATTCTGTCCTCCGCTG